TAATTAATAACTTGCATGAAAATGTAAAAAGCATGTTATATATTAAGATGATACAATACTAGATGAGATGTTTTACAATGGCTAGCACATATTAGATGCTCAATAAATACTTATTGAGTTGAACTGATGATGCAATGTTAGCTTACCAAACTGTAAAACGAGATCAAAATACCATTAAATTTGACAAGGGTAGATATTAATAACTATATTGAGTTGCCAAAAATCCAGTGTACCGGTACTTGATAGATTTGATTTTGAATCATTTGATGTCAAAAATATACAAGTTTAGGTTGACCCTTACAATTCAGCAAATTTTAAAGTCCATGTTATCCTGGGCTGCTCTGGCAGGAGTATGTAATTCAGAGGGAGGAAAGTCAGCATCTCATTGCACTCAGCCCTGCTCTGAACACATCTGGAACTCTGAATGCATTCCTAGGTTCTGCAATTTAAGTAGAAGTCAGAAGAAAAATTTAAGAGTGTATAAGAAAAGATAGCTAGCAATCTTAAAACTGTCTCACAATATAAGAAGCAAAAGTGTTAGAAGTGTTTATTTGAGGAGTAAAATATGCAAAAGAGGAAGACCAAGTATGAGATGGCTATATTCCATAAAAGAATTTAGAGGCCTGCGTCTGTGTACAGGACTCTACTGGTCTCTGGCTCAATTTTTTTCAATGACAGCATGATTTAGAAAGGCAGTGGCACTGTTACTTCTCTCTGAGTCTTAAAAAGCTCTTGGTAAATGCCCAGCCAGCATAGTTCAGTGGTTGAGCATCATCCTATGCACCAGGAGGTTGCAGTTTGATTCCCAGTCAGAGCACATGCCTTGGTTGCAGGCTCGATCCCCAGAGGGGTTGTGCAGGAGGCAGCAGATCAGGGATTCTCTCTCATCATTGATGTTTCTATCTCTCTCTCCTTCTCCCTTCCTCTCTGAAATCAATAAAAATATATACTTTTTAAAAAAAGTCTTGGTAAAATTTGCTTCCACAGTTACCTGATTTGACAACTCAGCCTAGCTACTTAAATAGAGTTGGTACCACAGGTTTTCTACCAGGTGACAGGGACTTCTTGCCCTGCATCAGTGCTGTGACAGGATGCCGAGCCTTCCTCATTCTCATTTGACTCACCCACCATTCATTCTCACTTAAATCCTCATAAATGCCCATGGCTGACCAATGAGGTGGTGTGAATAGGACAGAGAAATTCCTTTATTAAATGACCTTCATTTTTTAAAAAAATAAAAGACCTTCAAAAGCCACCGACATGCAAATTGGACATACACCATGAAAATATGGGTGGTATTTTATGAAAAAACAAACAGTAATCTTTAATGAGAGTTCAGCATTTTCTAACTGAATGTGTTGGTTCATCTGCGTGGAAAAATCCCTATCACTTCCTCTGAAAGCACACACAACTCAGTAGGAAACACAGGTACATAAAGAAATGGTTGTGATTCCTAGCCCTGGATGTTACTTTTTATGTGTGAAAAAGGTGAGTTGGGCTGCAGAGCAGCATGTGAGCTGGGCTGAAGAGACATTTGACAGTGTCTACAAAAATAATAGATATAGGAGGAGGATGGCCATTTGTGAATAGGGTTGTGTGTGTTTTTAAGACAAAGGATATTCTAAGCACTTAGCTGTCCTTTAGTCTTTAAGTTTTAGCTGTGTTTTTCTCCCTTAGTTCTTTCCACTCATTTTCAGAGTTCCATCCAGTCAGCCTCTTTGCCAAAGGAGGTGAAAGAGCCAGGCAGCGGTTACTTATAATTTCTTAGTCTTGGTAGAACTAGTAACATGCTCTCTGTGTAGCCAGTAATATGGAAAGAATAGAACCTGCATGGTCCCAAGGGAAAGATATTTGGTATTTTTAAAAAATAAAAGTTATTATCACCATCTTTTTGCTCCTAATACCCACTGTCTGTATTCCTCATGAAAGTACTGCTTAAACTTTATTGTCAGGAAACAAAAATTACCTTATGTCCAAAGGTCTTGACCATCAGATAAATCACTGTAATTGTCTTAGTAGAGTAAAAGGGTAATTACATGTTATAAAAGTCTCTGTTTGTTCCAAATTTACATGGTAAGAGAAACAGCTAACTTCATGAGTAATATAAAAGGAGTCAAAGTCTCTGAGCACTTCATGGCACCTTTTGCATTTAATAGCATCATTAAAACTTTAAGAGGAACATTGTTTAAATAACTTAGTGCAGAATAATAGAATAATAGAGTAGTTAGTTTAAGATAGTGATAAGTGAGATTACTGAATATTTCATTGTAGTCTAAGCTAATGGTGAGGAAGTTATCAGGGATTCCAGTTACTCATTAATCTTGTTTAGTGAGCAGCATTGATCTTTACATAAGAACTGGTGGTACTTTCCAAACCAGTGGAAGATAAATGGTAAAGGAAAGGATTAAACAGTTTAAACAAAAGAAGTACAATTAGCATAAGCATATAGAAAAAAATGATCATTCTCACTAATAAATAAATACTCATATCAGAAATATCATTCCTACCAATTAAATTATCAACTTTTTTTAAAGGTTAATGTCAATACTTGTAAGACTGTGGTGTAACTGGTGTGGGGGGATATATATATGGCAAAAATGGTATAAAGTTTTTTAAAAGTAATTAATAACATAAATCAAGAACATAAATGTTTTATTTTATTTTGGTGAAAACATTCAAAAGAAATTGAAAAATATGAAAAAGTCATTTATATCAATATGTTTATTGCAGAATTGTTTATGATATTAAAACAATGGAAATAACCCATTCCCTAACCATTAAATTATATCTTTATAGGTAGTAACATTATATAACACCAAAATAATAATTATGGAGAGCCTATCAGAAATCCTTAAATTATAATGTAAGGGGGAATGTAGAATATGTGGTTCTATATGTTCTGTGTATATATAAAACTATATGAGACACATGGAGTCCATAGCATAGAGTGGAAAGTACACATAATTGGGAACAAGATTAGCTTCCGTTTTAATTCTGGTTTCATGTGTGCAAGCTGTTGACTCTGATAAGTTACTCATACCTATCTTGTAGGACAGCTAAAAAAATGAAATTAGCTAAGTCTGTAAAGTCTGAGACAAGTTAACGGAATTATGGGTGAATTTTTTTCTTATTTTGATTTCTATTCATTCCATAATGTTGTTTTCACAGTAGAAAATACATTTAAATTTAATATTGATCACCAAAGCTATACTCAAAAGTATACCCCTTGTAGTAGTGACTATATGGTTAACTGAAATGATCTAAATAATAATTTTTACTTAGCCAAACATCTCAAATTACACATGGCTAAATCATATTAGTTTATTTAACAAACATTTATATAACTTTTACTACCATGTAACAGACATTGTTCAAAACACATAATTCATTGAATCATTATAATAACCCCATGAGAAAGGTACTATTATATCCCAGTCTTACAGATGAGAAACTGACATTCAGGGGACTTTCAGTAACTTGCTCAAGGTGACATTAGGATATATGGAGGAGCTGGGATTTGAACTCAGGCCATGGCTACATGGTCCAGCTCCTGAATGTTATGCTACTTTTCAACTGGTCCAGTAAATATGTTGAGAGATGCCAGGAAAAAAGGATGCAATCCTTGCCCTGCAGAAGATCTGTTTAGCTACAGACCCAAAGTTCTGCTCCCTCAACTCAGGTAAATGCCATTCATGTCACAACTACATGCTATTCACCGAGAGCCACCTTTTCTCAGCCCAAATGACCAAGGTTCTAAATGAAAATCTGCAGTCTACAGCTTGGTTTTCTATGTCAGAGAGTGGTTCAGAGCACATGCTATAAAATCCAAGAGCTGTGTGAAGGAGTGTCATGTTCTGCAAAGATTTGACTCGAGTTTCTCTTTATATGTATATTTGTATATAAACGTCTTCATGTATGACAAGTACTAGTATATGTAACTAATATTACAGCTAAAATATTAAACTAAGACTACAAATTAAAATTATAACACATAGGCACATAATGCATCATGTTATTGCTGTTGGATTTTCATTGTGCATATCTCAGATAAAAGCATCCCTTTATCTCCAATTGAAGAATTCTGAGATTTTAAGGCAGGTTCTTACAAACCTGTGAAATTTTTATCATTTGGGAGGTGGTATAATATGATGGTTAAGAATAATGGTGCTAGAATCAAATAGTCTAAATGCCATTTCATGCACAGGTATTTACCAAATGACTTTGGGTAAGCTTTTAAATATCTCTGTATTTTAGTTTCTTCATATGTTCAATGTGACAGTACACACCTCATAAGGTTGTAAGATATAAACGATATAAACACATAAACTTAGAAAATATAAGTGTTCACTAAATGTGAGATATTAGAATTGTTTTTGCAACCACTTATCTATAAAATCAGTCATTGCTTGCTACCATACAACCAAAACAAAACATGGAATTTCATTAAATTCTAAAGTTGATATGCAACTGAAAATTCCATTTTTCAAGTTGTTGTGTTTATCCAACAGCTGAATTATTATTGAATTATACAAGTAAGTGTTGCAAATTTGAACTAATAAATTTATGCTAGTTAAAGTCTACCCCAATTTGCAAATTTGCTCTTTTTAATTTTTTGCTTGGGGAAAAAAATATGTTCTGCATTAAAAAAAAAAAACTAATACATTGCATCATAATGAAATTTGTTTTTGTGCTCTGTTTTGTCTTATTCCAAGGAGAAAAAATTGCCTTTTCTAAATGTTTGTTTCTTTTCATGTCTACCTATTATTTAAAGCCTACTTTTGAATAATACATGTTGAAATCAAATTATATGGAAATAGTAACCCCTTATCTGGGAGAATGTTGTATTTGGGGGGATTCTACTTATCACCAAAAGAACAGCAATTTAATCTCTAATATATTTCTTTCAATATTAGTTCTTTTCTTGACAATAGGATTGATTTGAATGTGTGAAGTCATTTTAAATAAATGATCTATCTTTGTTTTTCTTCCTTTTCTTGTAGTCATTCCCAACACAGCACTGCAACCCGCCAGCCTTCGGTGACTCTCCAACGGGCCATCTCACTGGAAGGGTAAGATAAGAACAATACGCAGCCTTCTCTTAAACTAAACTGTGCAGCCTCATCACTTTGAGCACAAAGAAAGTCCTCCTTTCTTTCCTTTTCTCCCTTCCTCCTTCCCTTCTCTCTCTCTCTCTCTCTCTCTCTCTCTCTCTCTCTCTCTCTCTCTCTCATCAAAGACCTATGAATCTTATGTGATATACCAAACACCGTGCTATGTAATAGATTTAACAAGTAAATAAGATCTCTTCTTTCTCTCCAGAGGGCTCATTGTCTAATAGGAGTGACAGAAATACTAACACATACTTATATACAGCGTAAGCATCTCACAGAAGATACATATAAGGGCCTAATGGAGATTCAGGAAGGATATCTGGCTGAGAATGTGTATGAGAGAGGGAGGGAGGAGCAGGTCAGGGTGGTTTCAGAGAAGATATAACTCTCCAGAAGTGAAACATCTGTGGATATTTGCCTGACAGACATTAGAAAGAAGGGTGTTGCCCGGCTGGTGTGGTTCAATGGTTGAGCATCAAACCATGAGCCAAGAGGTCACCAATTTGATTCCCAGTCAGGACACATGCCCAGATTATGGGCTCAATCCCCAATAGGAGGCATGCAGGAGGCAGCCGATCAATGATTCTCATGGATATTTCTATCTATCCCTCTCCCTTCCTCTCTCTCTAAAAATCAATAAAAATAAAAGAAAGGAAGAAGGGTGCTCTAAGCAGAAGAAAGAGCATGTGCATAAACATGACCACATAAGCAAGCATGTGGTGTGAAAAGGCATTGAGTGATTCAGTGCTGAGGCATGGGTGTGTGAGGCAATGGAGATGAGAATGGAGATGTTGCTGGGTGGGCTTACATATAGAGGATTCAGTATTTTGTATTTCTAATTTCCCCAACCAGATAAAAGCTGGAGGGCCTGGGGGGAGGGGTAAGGGGCAAATATTTCTTTCCACTTGCTTTATAATTGCAACTGGTTTAATTAAGAATATTTAATCAGTTAATGTATAAAATTATTTTATTTTGGCAATATCTGTTACCAACTATGCTTTGTTTAACCCTGTTTCCCATTTAGTCTTCCTTAGTGGCATTTCAATGCATAGCTCTAACTTTATTATGTATTAGTCCTTTCCACTTTAAAGTTTTATGTTTTATCAGACCTCTTCCCCTCCTTCCAACATAATTAAGTCTTGGGTTTCACCAAAGTGTTCTAGAATTGATAGAGGTGTTGTCGTCGTCTTCTTCTTCTTCTTCTTCTTCTTCTTCTTCTTCTTCTTCTCTCTCTCTCTCTCTCTCTCTCTCTCTCTCCCCCTCCCTCCCTCCTTCCTTCCCTCATACCACCCTCTAGATCAGCGATTTTAGCGTTTCTCCTCTCATGAAACACATAAATGAATTACTAAACTTCTGCAGCACACCAAAAATATTATTATATTTTTTGCCACTCTGACAAAATAAATAGGTACAATTTTGATTAATTCATACTGAATGGCTATTGTTGTGTTGGCTGTGTCTTTATTTATTTGTTTGTTTCTTTATTTTTATAATCTAAGGCAGTGGTTCTTTGGCAGTCGAACAACCCTTTCATAGGGGTCGCCTAAGACCATCCTTCATATCAGATATTTACATTATGATTCATAACAGTAGCAACATTACAGTTATGAAGTAGCAACGAAAATAATTTTATGGTTTGGTCACAACATGAGGAACTGTATTTAAAGGGCCAGAAGGTTGAGAACCACTGATCTAAGGGGAAAAGAGGTTAGTGCCCCCTGACTAAATAGTCAAGTATTGCATATTTTTAAAATTCTTGCAACACACTGGTTGAAAATCTCTGCTCTAGATCTTTCTTTCTCTTAGATTTATCCTTTGGTAGTATTGGGGCAAAAAGAAGAAAAAGAGAAATGGCATTTCCTTACCATTCTACTGTGGCTGTCTCCTTTCTGTTTATCTCTGTAATGTAGTCTGGGAAGGTGGAGAACCAAACAGGCACTGATGCTGAGACTCAAACAACTCCTCCAACCTGTGGTTGGGCCCTGAGAGACTCAGCCGTCTCTTCCACAAAACCCCCAGTGGTAGTGCACTGTAGTCTGATGGGCTCACCACTTTATCCGAGCTGCAGCAATCCCTCACAGCCCAGAGTCCTCCTCTCTCATCTGTCCTCAGCAGCTTCAGGTGTGAGGCTTGCAAGCATGAGCAGCATCCCTCTTTCCTACTCCTCAGGTGGAACTTATCAGACAGTCCTTGCCTCCTCTCTCCCTGGCTGATTGCATCTTCTCTTCCCTCGGGTTCTTTTTCAACCTCAGTAGTGCTAGAGTCTTTTTCACTGCTAGGGTTCAGGAATCTGGAGAAGGGTCTGTGACATAAATGAATACAGACTAGACATAAAATATAAATTTGGGAAGCATGGGGGAGCCAGGGGAGGCTCCACTTTCTAGTGAAGTGGGCTCTCCGAATGTCCGGACCCACAGCTTTTTATTACCACATTTTGCCCTTTAGCAAAGCAGATCTACACTAATAAAAGACAAAGATGCTAATTGACCATACCTTCGCTATGCCTTAAGCCACACCCACCAGCCAATCAGAGCGACTATATGCAAATTAACCCACCAAGATGGCAGCCGGCAGCCACGGAGCTGGAACAAGCAGGAGGCTTGGTTGCCCGGGCGATGGAGGAAGCCAAGCTTCCAGCCTGCCTGAGCCGGCTGTGGCCTCTGCTCATGGCAACGAAGTTTCAATTATAGAAGACAAATAAATCCAAGATACCTGCTTCCAGCCAGTCTCCACTGGGAGCTTGGGTGGCTGGGGGGTTGTGGCCAGCCTGCAAACAGCCATCAGCCCCTCACCCAGACTGGCCACACCCTCATGGGGTGAGGGTCCCCTCTAGGGGGCTTAGCCAGCCTGAAAACGGTCCTCAGCCCCTCACATAGGACTGGCCAGCACCCAGCAGGACCCTCTCAACCTTGAAGGGGCCCTTCCATGAACACTGCACTCCCCCAAAAGGATACTTGCTTCTCCTACTAATTCCCCTCTTCTTGTTTTGATGATAAAAAATATCAAACCACTCTAATTCTTCTAGTTAAAAAAAAAAGAAAACAGAAAACAAAAACAGAAAAAATAATATAATTAATAAATAA